GTTGTCATGGTCCCAATCTTGTGCAATGTTACGTCTCATGGGCTAAGTGTTTCATCACACGCATAATCTGAGCCCTTACATGGAAGGGTGGTGTGTTGGTGAGGGGTGTCTGACCGATTTTTGTGGGCTGCCTGGGCCAAAAATGCCAGGGCCGATTTTTTGTCCCAGTCCGGCACTGGGTAGTAGGTAGGTTTATTTGTCACATTACAACAAGTTGTACAGTGACATTAAGTTTGTAAGATAATTGATTTCAAAATCCTGCTGTTGGTTTATAAAGCACAGAACGGTTTATGGCCCAAATACATTTCTGATCTTCTGCTACGTTATGAACCATCCAGACCTCTCAGGTGGTCTAGGATCAGGTCTGCTTTCTGTCCCCAGAGTAAAAACTAAACCTGGAGAAGCAGCGTTCAGGTTTTTATGCTCCATATATCTGGAACAAACTCCCAGAAAACTGCAGGTCTGCTGAACCTCTCAGTTCTTTTAATTCAAGACTCAAGACTTCTTTTTACCACTGTCTTTAATTAAATCAAATTTAAGGCTGTAGATTATAACTTACACTGCGCTGTAATTTTTAATTTCCTGTTTTATTTTATATGTAACTATCTGTGTCATAGCAGACAATATACCGTAATACAAAAGCAATCATGTAAATGGCAAACAGAAATAAACTATATCTAATGAAGCAGTTTTGAGGATGAATGCTATGATGCATATTTTTCATACAACTCTTTTACTGATGTAATTTGCATGTCAAAATAAACATTTTCTCAAAACACTATATATTTATAAACAGTATTTTCTATTTGTCTTTGTTGCACCAGCTGCTTGTAAGCATGGATCATTTCATGTACGACTCTTTGTGACTGCAAGTCTCAATATCTTCATCACAACAAAGAAACCTGTACCTTCTGATGCTGGTGTTTAAATCACAGTTAGACTCACCAGTACAACAGGCAGTGCTCCCACCACAGAGTACAGAATTACGGGCTGGATGCGGCTGTCCTGTTCAGGTCCAGGATCCGGCTTAGTTAAAGCTGGGTCTCTGCAGATGAAGCCCTGTTGCGTCGGACTAAAAGTGTCGGTGAACTCACAGTAGTAAACCAGCATCACCGTAGCTGCCAAAATCACCACTTGGAAGTACAGCATGGTACAGGTACAAGGTCCTCAGTACTGTTACCACAATGATGGAAAATCCAACTTCCAATTACTACAGTTGTTAAAATCCAATTTTGTCAATTTCTGGTTTGTGTAACAACTCTGATGCATAATCCAGTTGAACAATTCTTTCAAAATACTCCAGTGAAAACTTAGATGTCTGTAGTGATGATGATAATTTGCCTCTCAGAGACAGAGAAAGTCCTTCCTCTTTTTGTGATTCTGTGAGAGGGAAACCTTGTCCTTCCGCTCCTGTGAATTTCTTGAATTATCCGACGGCAGTGAACCCGGGAATTTATTCTGTTTCACTGAACAATCTCTAAAGAGCCACTTGCAGTCTACTGGACCAGTGGACAGTAACTAAGTACATTTACTCAAATACTGGACTCCAGTACACTATTTGTAGTACTATTAGTAACTCTTACTTTTTTCCTTAGTACTTACCCCATGCAGTACCTGCGAATAGCTCTTACTAGTATTTATTGTCACTTGCGAGTTGCTCCTCAAATGTAATTCGCTTTGGATAAAAGCATCTGCCAAATGAGTAAATGTAATGTAAATATAATGTACAAATTTGAAATTCCTGTACTGTATTTTCTTTTCATGCCAATAGCCTATAGACTACTTCAACTGCAGAGGGATATATGGTAGGGGAGACCGGGGGCAACTGTGACACACTAAATTTCTCCAATCAGAAACAAGCTAGAGTGATGACGCTTAATCTGCACATGCTCAATAGGATTCTCTCTCTGCCTGTGGAAAAGGAGCAGGATCATTTCACCTCAGCAGAAGTTTTAAACAAAATACTGATTTTGAGGTATGAAAGTAACTTTTTGGATTTGCAGTATTTTTCTTCTGGTGTCTAAAGTTTAGATGACTGCAAATCTAAACTTGCATACATTTTATCTCTAGGTTATTGATTAACAATTAACACTAACAAACTATGCTTATATAGTTGTGGCTGGCGGGCATACAAGGTTTTATCATGGCTGCAATTTCGGGGGCAATTCTAACACTGTGTTACAATTGCCCCCAAGCCACATGCCAATTGCCCCCAGTGTAAGCAGCTTGTCGGTTTGTTTTGTAAATGTAAAACCATATTAAAAAAGGGTGTATTAAAATAAATGGATTTGTTCTAGTATAAACAAATCACCAATTAACATAGGCCAACATTCTTTGTATAAAATAGTGTGTTTTATATGTGTTTAACAGAAAGTGTGAATATTATACAGGCCTAAGTCTGCAAAAGTAAAGTTCCTTTCATTGTCAGTTTGTCTGTTTAGTGGACTTAAAGTAGTTGATGGTATAAGACCCAGCAAAACCAAAGAAAATGACTAGTTCACTTGTAAAAAGCAATTTTATTAAGTTAGAACAGAGAGAGCCTGACATCTAAAATAATTTGAACCATTTAAAAACTCTTATGTAACATTATTAGCTGTAAAGTAATTACTTTGAGGTAGCCTAGGCTTTTACTTGAGATATGACTTATTTTTCAGTGTTACAATTGCCCCCACACACTGTTTTGCCGCCAAGGGGGCAATTGTAACACTCTGACTTCTTGCATTTAATTAAATAGTTTTACTTTTGTTCTTATAAGTGAAACTATATCAATTGTATTATTAATTAGTGCACATATGTATGTTTCTTGTATCAAAAGATGACTAGTGTATCTCAAGTAGTTTGTGAGTTATTAAGGAAAATGTAAAATATGTTACAATTGCCCCCAGTCTCCCCTACTTTTTACTTTACTACATTTATCTGACAGTTTCAGTTACTAGTTACCAGTGTTGGGAATAACGCGTTACAAAAGTAACGCAATTACAGTAATGTGTTGCTTTTTCGCTGTAACGCATTAATATCATGCATTATAAAAAAAAATCAGTAGCAAATATTATACCCGTTCAATCCCAGTAACGCGCGTTACAACGCATTTAACCCGAAATTAAGTGGCGTCAAGTTTATTTAATAATTCACCAACACCAAAAAACATTTCGGCAGCAGAAAAACAAATCCATGATTAAAGAGTAATGTTATTTCCTGTTGCGGGAATTCGATGGTCGAGATTGTAGTCAGGGTGCAAACTACGGGAGAGCTCGGCTCCAACTAACAAGTTGGTAGCTCAGGATGAATTATGCCTGTAGATTTCTATTTTTGGGCTTTAACGAGTTACTTTCCTTATCAGAGAGGCTGCTGTCAGATCATCCTGCGGGAGATTCAAATAATCATCAATGCCGTTATTCTGCTGTACCTCGTGCGTAAATGCGCACAGTGTCACGATCCTGTCCTGAGTTTCTTTATTTGTCAGTTCTGTATCTGTCATTAAGGTCTATGTTTTGGTGTTCAGTCCTGTCTTGTGTTCAGTCTGCCCAGAGTTAGTTTATTTACTGTTGCCTGTCTTTTGGTTTTGATCTGGGCTTCGTTCCTCCCGTCTTAATTCTGTTAACTGTCTGGTGTTCTGTCTAATCCTAGTTTCAGTGCTGCCTTGCCCCGTTATGTTGTTTTCTACTCCCTGCCTCTGTGTTCTAGTTCTGAGTTCTCGTTTAGGTTTTGTCTGTTATGATACCTGTGATAAAGTTGGTCGGTGTTTGCCTGTTGTCTTGGGTTTCTGTAATTGTCTGGGGTTGGATTCTTGTCTGATAGTGAAGACAGATGTGACTTCTTAATTACTTTGTTTGAACTCCGACACTTTCCTTAACGTAAAAAAAAAAAAATCGGTCAGGTGGTGAGTTTGTGAACTCACATCTCTTGGGTTCACCCTCCATTATTACTCTGCAAACCAAGGGAACGTCACTAAATACAAAATAAACACGTGAAACCAGATTGCTGTTTGAATTATTCTACAGTGAGCTCTGCTGCCCTCCAGTGGTGATACTGTAACATGATGTAAATAATAAGAAACCACCTCCACACTTCTCCATTACTGCTTTCACTCAGACTACCATCCTCTTGTTTCAGATGGTGGGATGCATGATTAGAAAACCCATCAGCTGCAACACTGTGTGCAGAGGCTGTGTTTCTGTGTCAACATACCTGGAAGCTGAGCCAACAGTGAGGTCCAATGAGAGACTTTAGCAACTGTTGTGTCAGAAATCAGAGCTCCATCACCTCAGACAGCCCTGCTACCCTGTAAACACATTCAATAAACACTAACAGCACATTTAAAAGAGTTATTTCAAACCGAAATTGTTTGCTTCTCCTTTGCCCACGCATCATTAAAATTAATTTGTTTATTACTGAGGCCTTAGTGAAATGCGGCGTTGTACTGGACTACATTTTTTGTCCTCTCTATTTACATACATGAGGGGGTCAGAATATTAGAAACACCTCTCAACATAATGTAGTCCAGTACAACACATTACTATATGCCCTTAATACTAAAGCACAAGATTAAATCAACACTTCTGTGACGGTGTCAACAAAGACTTCATGGCAGAACGGTTGTCTTGGATTGTCTTATTATTCAGCCTCTGCTAGAGTCTTTCTTTGCCGATTCACATTCCCTCGTCTTGATGTCCATTACACGTGACATTTATACTGTTATAACGTCCCAGATGTTTATCTGAACGGGTTTGAAAGTCCCACGGGATCTTAGAGCCGTCTTTATCAGCTGCCCCAGAAAAATGTATCTTGTTACAAAATATCCCTCGAATAAATGCATCAAAGTAAAATACAAAATACTGGTGGCGGAAAATACATTTGTTACCTTGGACACATGGAATTTGTACAAAATGGCAGAGCATTCAGATTTTCACAATAAGAGTTTGGACCCTACTAGAAGGAAGACCACAATGTTGAATGCTTCTGTAACTAAGCAAAACTGTAAAAACAACAATAACAAAAACACTGAAAATAGTCTTTTACCATTTGTAGAAACTTGCTCTCTGTCCAATTCAAAGACATGGCTGTTGACACCCAACAACTACAATTTATAGTCTATTTAGCTGTTTTTAATAGCAACAAACTTTCAAAATATTTCTGGTTTTAACAGCCTCGTATGTCGAATATTATTCCTGCACAGATTAGAGGAGTCTCTCAAACGGAGCTGAAGAGGGCAGGGTTGTGTTAAACCGAGCAAAAAGGGTTTCATAAGCGGTCCAGCCATACGTTTAAAGTATCTTGTTTTTTCATCTCTGTCAACAACCAATTACAAAACACTTACTCAAAAGTAATTGAAACCACTAGTTCAAATACAAGTTAACAGAAATACTGACCACATTTATGTACATGTAAGTAAAAATATGATATATCAAATGTATGCATCTTACAGTTTTAACAAAGATTAACTGCAGTAAGTTGTTAGCACACCTTTGAGTTACATGGTGCATTCATGTGCTGTTGGCATAATTGGAAAATTCACATGAACCTAAAGCCGGAAAAACAACTTGTAAAGTCTGAGTAAGTTTTGGTACACGAGTTGCCGAATTGTTGACGTCATACACGAAGAAATATGGAGGACAACATGGTTAGAAACGTTTGATTAATGGTGTGGAATCAAGTATTGCATATATACATTTTTTTGCTAAGGTCTCATTTGTAATATGGTATTAGGTTAGTTTTTTTTGAATGCCAACAAAACGGTTTTATACTACGGAGGCAGGACATTTCTGTTTGCCCTAGTTTTTGCTGCGATAGCTTGTAATCTGTAATTAGAGTGATTAAAACAAGAAATACGGCAGTTTGATTTCTGAAATCATGGAAAGCTAAGTGTTTTTACTGATGTATAAAATGTCTTTTATTATTTTACTGCACAGTACTCGTGTCCATGTTTGCAGAGAACAGATCCAGACAGTCGTCCGGCTCTGGCGGACTGCTCGGCCCGTCACCATGGTAACAGTCAGTCTGACGGTGTTGTTCCCTCTTCCGTCTACGTTTATACACACTTGTTCTGCCCTTGTCCTTCTTTTCTTCTTCTACCTTTTCCGTCTCCAGTCTGTCAGGCGGATCTTGTAGTTCCTGTGAGACGGAGGGATCTGGAATTTGTAGTTTTTGTAGTTTCTCTGTAGCCAGGGCCGATTGCAGATTCTGGTAGAACCTGGAGATAAAAATAAATAATAAATGGACAGAAATCTAAGCTCCCTGCCGCTGGGCTTACATCTGCATATTTGAATTGAACTCTGATTAACTTTTTTTTTTAAATGTAGCCATTGTTAGCAGTGTTGCACTTGATAGTCGATTAATCTTTTGGATTAATGAAACAAATAATCAAATATTTGGATTATGAAACGCACAATTTACTCAATGATTCTTCTTTAGCTATCAGCTTTCTAAATTAAACAAGAGGTTGATTGAGGCAGTACATATTTTAATGAACGTTTCTGCTGCAACAACAGAAAGTTCCCCTGTACTCATCTGTGCAGCTAATCTGCTGTTAACAAGGCATATCGTATTTCTAGTGACAGAGTATCTTACTGCCAGTATACTGCAACACGCACAATATTTTTCATACAAACAAATAACTTCATGTATTACATTATAGCCGAATTTACAAGAGGGGAATGATAAAGATTTTGTAGTCGACAGCATTTCACAACATTTATAAACTCGTAAAACACTGGGATTTTTTAAAGGAGTCTAGTGCTATTTAGCCCCCACCTCACGCATAAAGGAGATTTTCCACTCTTATGCAAATGACCAAATTAGTAATTAGTAGCCTCATTAGCTCTGCGGTCAGTACTCATCATACCCGGTCCAGCAGGGTACTGCTTTTAAAAGCTCTCATGCTGTGCACCATCTACTTGGAACTCCTTGCAGAGGAGCCTCCGGTTGGAGGTGTTGGTGCCTTTTGCGAAGTTCAAATCTCTGATTATGGAAATATGTACATTTTTTAAATTAGCAGGCATTTGATCAATGTATTTTATCTGCATGGAGGCGTCTTAATGTACTGGTTTTTATAGTGTGCTGTTGGTCTGCACATGTGTAAGGGTAAAATGAAAGATGTTCTGATTGTATTGTAGTTTTATTTCTGTACTGTCAGACTTGCTGTCCTGCTGCCTTTCTTGGGGTAGACGCCCTTGAAAAAGAGATTTTATCTCAATGGGTCCTCCCCTATTTTAATAACAAAAAATTGTTTCCTATTTAGAAATTGTCTGGTGCATCATTTCTGTAAAGTTAGGAGTGTAAACAGGACCGTTGTGTATAATTGCTGCTCTAAACACCATTAACAATTCTTGACGAAGAGAAACGTTACAGCTCATAACGTAAAGTAACATGGATTTAATTCATGTCACTAGCTTGCTAACTACATTATTTGTTAGTTTTACCAATCAGAGAGCCAAACAGCCGACTGACCTGTGGATCCGTCTAAGGTTCTCCTCCATCTTCTGATTGGCTATCTGAGTTAGAAAATGGATGTACTCATGTTCCACCAGGAGCTTTCCTTCGTGGCTGAGTGGAACCTCCAGGCCGTGGGTACTACGGACAGCCTAGAGGGACAAAATCACAGCTTTTACACGGTATGTAAGCAACACATGCTGCAAAGCAAAGGGCTGTTTCTACTGCATGGATTATTTAACGGATTGTGATAGTACTAGTAGAGTAACGGCAAACAAATAGTTTTCTGCACAATCCTGGAAATGGCGTTCATGTCACAAAACCTACCGTGATGATTTTCCCCGTCTTGCTGACAGTGAGACCCGAGTTCCTGAAGCCTGAGTTTATAGCCACTGAGTGCTGGAGAAGAAACCAGTGAAAGAGCAGCTTAGACCTTCATTCCCCCCGGCAGTGCAGAGCCTACATACTTATGTCGTCTTCTGGACTCTTCACAGAGGAGTTAAATCGACAACACTGTAATTGTTCAACAGTAATATATATAAATAAATAAACTGTCCCTCTCACCATCAGCTGAGCATCATCCAGGCGCCTACACTGAACATGGAGCACAAAGGGCTCAAACTTCAACACTGCATCTCCACTGGACCTGGCTAGAGCAGACGTCTGAAGAACAAACACATTGTACCCTTAGTACTATTAAATGAATATTATTAGAGGAAATATCACAAGTGCATGAGTCCATCCATGTCTCACCAGGTCATCAGATGTGCACTTCTGGTGTGAGACAAAGAGCCAAACACAATTTTGTTTTTGGACACGACTGCTCTCTGGAGCCTAGAAGGGGAAAAAAAACAAAAAACAGATGGGGAACTCAGGTGGGATTTTAAAAACCAGACCAACACCAACACACTAGACGACTGCTGCTGGACGACGCTGAAGTTACCTTCTGATCCGGCAGCCAAGGGGAAAGTTAAGGGAAACTCAGATCAAAAACCACTATGCCTAGAGTTGTCAGAGGATAAAGTTTCTTTAAAACATAGTTTCAGATTTGTGACACCTTGAAAATGAAAACACAAACTGGGATTTATTTGGTCTACCTGTAAAAAAAACAAACCAAACAAAAAAATACATATACATATACGTCGCCCTTTTTTACATTTTCACAAATAAAATAAAAGGTTTCGCAAATCTGACACTGTTTTAAAAAAACTTTATCCTCTCTGAAATAATCTAGTCCAGATTTGACATCTCTGGTTATAGTGCTTTTTGATCTGGACCTGGTTTAATGTGCTCTAAATGCAACATACATTAATAAATGTTAAACAAATGTGGACCCCTGTTTTAAAGAAATTTTCTGAAATAATCGGGATCCAGATCCAAAAAAAAAATCCAGATTTGCCAGCTCTTGGCACAGTGGACCTGCTGAATCAGAAGCTAACTTCAGCTTCATGCACCAAGTTATTCTGTAAATGTCTTTATTTTTATTAAGGCACACAAAATTCAGGTGGCAGGTGACTATTCAAAATATAAAGGAATACAATGAAATAATCAGCAGCTTGTTTGTTTTTATACCTTAAGGGACTTTTTATTTTTTAGACAACGCACATTTGGTTTCCCTTTATTTACATAGCATGTTTTCTTATTGTGCAAATGAAGCTTTCTGCTTTCTCAAATCATTTCATGTTGTTATCTTTCAGGAAACTTAACATAAAAGTGTTGGAGACATGTCCCCAGTGTCTGCGCTCCTCACCCCATCGATGAGGAGGATTCTCCCAGAGCAGGAGCTGGTGGTGAAGTACTCCTCGCAGCTGTTGAGCAGAGACACTACATGTTCAATGTCTTCATCCACACTGCCCTTCTTACTCAGGTCCAGCTTGTTCAGACTCTGCTTCTTCCAGTGGCTGAACGTTTGATCCATAGCTCCTCATTTAGCTTTAACGTGGCTGCAAGCGGGGGGGACGCTGAAAAGTATGTGTAGCCCGTGCACCACTTCATAAAATAAAGTCCTGCTATCACATTCACGGATGTGTTCGTTGTTTCTTCTTGTGCAAAATGGTGGCCGAGATGCGAGCCATCAGCAGACACCGCCTCCTGCTGCACCGGAGGTGAGAAACACGCTCCTCTTCTTCTTCTTCTTCTTCTTCTTCTTCTTCTTCGTTGTCTGGCAGATTGCAACCATTACTATTAAAGGTGCACATCTACTGTACCGGAGGATGCAGCATGAACTATGAACTACTTTGCTGGGACTAAATTATATCATCAAAAATAAATAAATAAATAAATAGATAAACAAATAATCATAAGCAAAACAAACAAACAAACAAATAAATCCTAGCTTTATTGGCAAGACGTTTTAGTTCAAACATGTTGCCAAAGCAGAAAGTCACATATAAACAATAAAATAAAATTAAACAACAATAATAATCATTGTGATCTCAGATCGGCTGTTGAATAGGACGATTTGGAATTCATTATGCAGATATCCTGCTGTTGGTTTATAAAGCACTGAACGGTTTACGGCCAAAATACATTTCTGATCTTCTGCTTCGTTATGAATCATCCAGACCTCTGGGGTCGTCTGGGATCAGATCTGCTTTCTTTCCCCAGAGTCAAAACTAAACGAGGAGAAACAGCGTTTAGTTTTTATGCTCCGTATATCTGTAACAAACTCCCAGAAAATTGCAGGTCTGATAAAACTGTCATTTATTTAAAAAAGACTGCAGACTTTTCTTTTTACCACTACCTTTAACTAGTAGATTGATAACTTACACTGCACTGTAACTTTTACTGTACTGTTTTCTTTGTCTTTGTTTTTAGATATTAACACTATTTAAAAAGCTTAGAGTGCTCTTTTGATTCTACCGTCGCACACGGCTGATCGTCAGTTAACGGAGCTGAGTAGAATTACAAGGATTAGAGTCCCTGTTTTGTCCACTGTTAACTTATTGACAGGGCCCGCTGTCAACCGCTTTTTCCAGAGTTTGTAGCGTGGACAATTTGGATTTACAGAGACGACTGTATCTAAAGAATAAGGGTTAGAGTCCCCTTAGAGTCACTAAGCGTTAAAGGGTTAGAGTCCTCTTAGAGTTAGAGTCCCTAAAAGTTAAAGGGTTAGAGTCACTAAGTGTGAAAAAAAGGGGTATAGAGTGGGAGATGGGGAATCAAAGGAGTAAAATAAGCAAAAGTGGAAGACCTGCCTGTTATTTTTTTTGTATTTAACTTTTTAAACTGTTTTATATTTCCCTGTTGCTTTTATGTTTTATGTAAAGCACTTTGAATTACCTTGTTGTTGAAATGTGCTATACAAATAAACTTGCCTTTGCCTTATAGCAGAGGTGGGACCAGGTCATGTCTCAAGTCGAGACAGACAAGTCCCAAATCAAGTCCTTAACTTTGAGTTTCAATTTAAAAATTAAAAAACCTTTATTGAATAAAGTGTTAACCTGGACAGAAAAAAGGCAGTGGAGCAGTTTCACATAACAAATGTCATAAATTAAATAAGGTATTTCATGTCAATTCATTTCAAATGGGGCCTTATTGACAAGGAGAAACAGACGTTTACATTGCCAAAGTGTGAAAAAATTACCTAAACAGAAGAATAGTGATTTCGCTATTAGATCATGATCCGTGTCCAAGCGGTTGCCCGAGCCCCTAGTCTTTGAGTACCAGCCACTAACTCCATATTTAACAGATAAAGATACTTGATGATGTTTTGGTATGAATGTCATATGTTGGTTGACAGAAAAATTACTTTGCAACTATTTTAACCATTTATATGATTTTACATGCAAAAATATTTCATAGTTCCAGCTTCACAAATGTGAAGATTTGCTGCTTTTCCTTGTAATTATTTTAATTATTTGAACATAGTGTTAATAATGTTGAGGTTTGTAATGTTGGTTGGACAAAACAAGGTGCCAAAACAACTGCACCAGAGCTGGCTAACAGCTAATTTGCATCTGTTGTCCCTGGGCAGGTAGACAAAACAAAACAAAAGACACAAAGCAACCACTAAACAACAAATACACTACATAAAATTACAAAATACGCATTATCCATCAATTCAAAATTGATAAAAACTGTTTGATATATACACCATAAATGGGAAAAACACTAAAACGTCATGCCAATAAAGCCAAACGAGAGTGAAAGACAGAGGAAGAGAAAGAGAGAGAGCGAGAGAGAGAGCAGTATCCCCTATTGGAGTGGCATGGTTTTGCTGGCCCAGAATCTATAAGTGACAGCAGTGTGGAGAACAGTATTCGGATAAAAACGGGTGAAGCAGGCCAGAATACAGAGACACAGTACAAGTACAAGATGTCTGCCATGATGACATTATGAGGATCAGACCCCAGGTCAGTCTCTTCTCTTGCTCCATTTACATGTTATGTCACATATAATGTGTGAAAGAGCCGAATAAGCTTCAGTTCCTGTATAGATCACTGACATGATGAATAGCTCGCAGTAATGTGATGTTAAGTGTCAGGGGGCTGAAATGCAGAGGTGGACAAAGTATTCAGATCCTTTACTTAAGTAAAAGTACTAATACCACACTGTAAAAATACTCTGTTACAAGTAAAAGTCACTGAAAATGTTAAAATATAATCAGGAAAATGTACTTAATGTATTAAAAGTACACAATGCAGTAAAATGTTATACTAGTAAATATTATATCATTAGAGTATTATTACTCATGCATTCATGTAAAAGCAGGATTTTTTTCTGCTGTATTTCCTTTATGAATTCATCTGCTGATGATTTTCTCCATGAATTGATTGCTTCTAAAAATTCTGAAATTAGTGAGAAATGCCCTCACAGTTATCCAGAGCCCAGAGTGACACCTTCAAAATGCTTTGTTTTGTCCGACCAACAGTCCAAATCTCGACATTATTAACAAACATTTAAATTATTAAAATAATTAAAAGAAAAAGCAACAAGTCTTCACATGTGTGAAGCTGGAACCATCAAATTTACTAAAACGATCAAAATAGTCTCCAATAAATGTTCTGTCAACAGACTAATCGTTTCAGCTGTACTTGTTTAAACTGTTGGGTAGTTTAATTTATAATAAAACTTTATATTTTATTAATTCTTCATATGTTTTGTGTATAAAAATCTTAATTTGTAAAGTAACTAAAGCTGTAAGATAAATGTAATAAAGTAAAAACTGCAATATCTCCCTCTGAGATGTAGTTGTGTAGAAGTAGAAAGTGGCATGAAAAGACAATACTCAAGTAAAGTACAAGTACATTAAATTTGTAAAAGTATGGTAAATGCACTTAGTTACTGTCCACCACTGCTCTAACATGAGTCAAAGCAAGACGAAGCAAATCCCAGCAGGCTGATAAAAAAATACTAGAAGAAGCTTCTCTCACGATTCCTCAGTTACTGTGTTGAAAGTATAACAAACGCTGCCCCCACACTGAATCGAATACACTAACCCCAGGCGCTATAAATACAGCCGATACATATAATACTCATGTATTATGTATTGCATTGTACACAGTTTACAAGCAGTCCTACTAGCAGTGATTTGTACTTCACCTCAATAGTGTATATATGGCATTAAGGCTGTACTTTCACACTCTAAATAAAAAAATTCTGTCCTTGTGTATAATTTGTTTGATGGGTTATTAAGGGCAGATCTTTTTGGACAGAAGGTGCCAACACTTTACTCAGATTGGGCTGAAATTGTACTTTCAATAACATAACATACAACATATATTGTAACAGTTTATGGCTTTAGATATTAAAACTGAGAAAGGTGTTCAGTGTTTCCCCTCAGAACTTTATTCCTGTCAGTGTGGAAAAGGTTCTGAAACCTCGTGAAAGATGTTTCATTGGAATCACATCAGGTTAAAGGATAAGATCGGCGTTTTTACTTCAGTTTTTATATTGCTAAACTTTACTTTACCTTACCACTCGGTCACAAACTGTCCATGACTCACAGCGCGAGAGTGACTTGATTGCTACCATGGCGTGTGCTGGTGTCGCATCAGCTGGGCGAAGTTTATTCGTGCACGGACTCGACGTTATCAGTTATCCATTTGTTTTTCAATGCTGCTCCACTCTGGTGCACTGCATGCTTTTCTTTTCTTTTTGTAAGTAGCGAGAGTCTTATTATTATGAGTAATTATTTGGAGATTTGAAATATTCAAGAAAATATATACATAAGTACCTACAAAACCTACATAAATACAGTACACCGTTACTTTAAACCTCTAGTTTTTAATAGAGGAGCTCTATTGCACAGATGATTAAGATATATCAGGCTTACACAGTACATTTTAAATCATGTGACACATGTGTAATCATTGTTAAGATCATTGTTAAGAGTGCCTCTATGATATGTCTGTTGACAACTGACCACATGTAGAAACTCTGTTAACACACAGTTACATCAAAAGAGAATTCAATCATGTTATCTTTTTGCAAAACACAGACAACATGGTTCATATCTTCCTGCTGGTGTAAAGCCTGGCGCTTTGTTGTTACTTGCCAAAAGGAATTTATTCAAATGTGATGAATAATTTATACAATTAGGAAGTGTTTCTCCCCCTTCCCCACACACACCGACATTTGTCAACAATTAGTCACGCAGTTGTTCTACACTCTGTTTAATGTTGTGCCCAACACGGGAGTTGCTATTCCATCACATATTAAAAGGCATTAAAGGTGACTGAAGTAACACGCTACTGTTACTAGTACTCTTACTACCATTGTGCGACTATTATATATGATCTATATGCTGTACAGAGAGACTGTCCTCACCAGAAAAACACCCATATAGGTTGTTTGTTAAGTTATTGCGACCCATATTTATATTTATTGTGGCATCCACCTCTAATGACTGTACAAGGGTAGCAGAGGAGGAAGTCTTCTTATAAATACAGATGTTGTTTCTCAACACTGAGTTCGCCAAATACGGACTTCTGTACTTGCAAGCTCGGACTTGGGCAAGTTCGGCTCGGGAGTACAAACTTCCAGGGACAATCGCACGCAATCCGCCATTCTGCAATTGGAACAGCAGCGTACTCGATGATGGCGGGACCCATTAGCGGACGGGACCTCACATTTCCAAAAACGTCATAGCAAATTTTCAAATCAGCTCTGTCTTGATAAATCGACCCCACATTTGGAATAAATATATATAAGTATATTGCAACTATATTTGCACATAAAAAAGTCTTTAAATTGAATTCAGTGACACAATAACAGCAGTATTATAACTTACAGCTGTGAGTCTCCTCCACCTTTTCTGCTTGTTGGCGCCAAAAATCAACATGGCGGCCAGACTCGAGGCTTCAAAACAGTAGTCCACAAACCAACGGGTGACGTCACGATGACTACGGCCACTTCTTTTATACAGTTTATGGTACCATGTGAAACCAAGTAATGTTAAATGTTTGTGATTTAACTTTAATTGCGTTTCCGACTTTCGTCATGTGACTTACACAATATATACTGTAATATATAATATATAATACATACTGTAACCCAAACCGCGTCGTTCTCGTTTAGGTTGGAGGACTTGTTGTGCATAGAGTTGGTTAAACCACATTTCCAACACAAGTACCCAGAACTTTCTCTCCCAGGAACTACTTTTCAAGGAACTGAAAGGTTCCTTCAGCCCATTGTTGTGGGCGTTTCAACCACAGTTTAAACACTTGTGAAAATTTAGCAAATTAGTCTGCTGACGTACATTTTTACTCTGGCGTATGCCATACAAAGCGACAGGACAGTAACCATTGTCCGTAAGTTCTTCCATTGATGTGTCAACCAAAATAAACTTCTTTACAAATCTACTGCATCCATTTAAAAATGGCGGTTGAAATCTTCTATCAAAATGTTCAGTACTGCAAGCTCCACCCCTTGTACTTTTGGAAAGTACTACCCCCATAGCAGAGACTTTTGTGGGGGTAAAATTAAGTCCCCGAAACTTAAATAGACCGTGGTCCCTGCGGTGGAAACGCAGTGGGTTCCTTTTAAACGTCCTAGTTCCTGGGTAAAGTTCCTGCGGTGGAAATGCGACTTTAGACTTTATTTACTCACAGAGTCTCTTCTTCAACAAAGGAGCTTGAACCAATGATGTGTATACAACAAGACAATGACGTTACCCAAAGTAGTCATCATGCACATAGGCACTAATTGCAATATTTACAAATATGTACTACCTGTAAGTACAGCTTTATAATCCCTCCAGAGGAATGGGTCTCAGTTTGTTACCAGTAAGGTGCTGCAATAACTGATTTTCTTGACCACTTGGGGGCAGAGGAAACAAGCTGTGAACAAATGGTAAACTTGTTAGCAACAGTTGCTTTCTTTAATTTAGTCATCCAGTAGTGGACACTGTGAGAGCAGTGAGAGTGAACGTTAACAGTAAAGTTATGGGTCGGACAAATAAACACAGAAACTTACTATAAAGCTCCATAGCTGCAGTTTCAGGTGTGAATTCTTCTCACTACGACGAGTAACTGCTATTGTCACATTGTTTTCAGGTTTCTCTCACATGTTTCCATTTAATTCACTGTTATTATAAAAAATGAAGGCTATATAACCTATCCTGTAATCTGGTGTTATGGTTGGTGCTTTAACTGTCATGGGTAATGAATCTAATTTATTTTAAATGTTAATTGTTGCAATTTCTAAGCTCTAATTTCTTATATTTTGGATTCAGTAGGCCCCATTAAACTGAAACTAATTAAATTAGATGACTCAACTGTCAAATAAATCGACTCTAAGCTTTTTTTTTTATAGATTACAAATTCAAACACAATGATTTATTACTTAGTCTAACTATTTATCCCTTTGTAAAAATACAGTATCAGCTGTCAGTCTACTTTAGCAACAATAACCTGTCTCCCACACTGAAACTCTTTGGCTCTTTTCTTCTTCCGCGTTTCCTCAGGGCTCTGAGAAGGTGATGGTTGATAAGACAGATCACATGTATGTAGCAGTCGGTCAACATACTGACAGCATATTGCAGGCAGTGGCCCAAGGCCATAACATGGCACAGTGTTTCATTGCCTGTGTGTCCTGAGGGGTGTCTCCTTGTGTCCCACATATTATCACGAGTACTGCTCTGTTGTAGAAGGGGGGCGTTCATACACACTCCTGTGCGCTACCCCGTGCAGAAAATAGGTTTTTAGCACACTTATGATGTCACTCCCATGGGTTGGTTTTGGTTTTCCTCCGGTGGTTGTTTATTGAGAAGATGAACCACTCTGTAGGTGAAATTCAGACCCTAAATGCTGGCTTGAAAAGGTGGGTGTTAAAAGAGCAGTTCGCCCCAAATACAAAATAAATAATAGACTGATAGTGATATCCAGCTATGCAGAAAGTTGGGGTCTTTTTATAGCCTGGGCCTATATTTTAGAAACATTGTCCTGGTTGGTTGGGGGTAACAGGGGTATATCCACAGACAGTTCTGGAAGTACATTACTGAAGAAATACTCCAAAGGTATATAAGTGGATCTCAACCCGGGGGCAGGGAGGGATGGGTGTGTATTGTAAGATGGCATACTTTCTCGCTGCAGCCCTCTGACTGCCAATAACTAAGTTTTATTTACATGTATTCATTTAGCTGACACTTTTATACAAAGCAACTTACAATTGCTTTACATGTCAGAGGTCGCACACCTCTGGAGCAACTAGGGGTTAAGTGTCAGGTACACATTGGTGGATGTGTCACAGTGGGAATCAATCAACACAGGTCTCTCACTCCAAAGGCCAAGTTTCAGAAGTTACTTCAGTACAATACTTTTTATTGTTTTGTTTTTGTTTCTTTAACTATTTGTTACAAAAGAAGCCCACGTTCTCACATGATAAATGTCAAAAAGAGCAGCTGTACAAGGACAAAAAATAAAATGGTCTCATATTTATGGTGGCCCTAAAGTGCAAATCGCCACAACACGACTGCACGAAATGTACAGACACAAAAAAGTACTGAGGTGTGATACCCAGCCCTATTACCCTATTATTATAGCCCTACTATAAAACTATTTCGAAGAGATATTAAATGCAGAAATATGTGATTGAGTGTTCTGGTGGAAGATTTAGAGAATTAAATTATTTCTGCATTCTGGAGAAAATTTCTGCACCAATGTATGTTGGAAATGTCTATATATATATATATATATATATATATATATATATATATATATATAAAGAGAAACACAACATTCAGGCAGCAGGTGACGGTTCAAAATATAAAAGTATAAACAGAATATAATGCAGTGATCAGTAGCATTTTTAAGCTTAAATTCTTTTATTGGGAAATGCATATTTGTTATTTTAATTGCATTGCATGTTTTCGTATTGTCAAAGCATTTTCATTTGTTAGTTAACATTTCTTGTTGCATTTTTAGCAATTACTTTCTAAAAAATGATATGAATGATTTTTTGAAAAAGTGTCCCCAGCGTCCCCAGTGTAAATGACACCTGTAGTCACCTCCAAATCAAATGGAATTTATTTCTTTTATTTCTTTTCTTACCCTTTCTTTCCAAATTGTCCCACTTCTTCAGGACCACATTGTGAAAGATTTGTCAGCAAAATAATGTTCTCAATTACAATTAAAAACGCTGTATCTTAAAAACTCGCCATATAAAACTGATGTATGGAGAAAAAGGCGAAGAGTGAGACGTCGTCTTAATGTTCTGCTCCTCCTGCACCTGCTGATGTGCGTCAAGTTAGCGAAAGTTAGTCATAACAGACCGGATATAGTATATATATCCTTCACTTCAACAATTACAACAGTAAAAGCCTGTACTAATAATAATTTTACTTTTACTCATGCATAGGCCTATTTGTTGAAAAAACATTTTATCATAATAGTCTTGAATGTTCTGCCTCAGATTTTGATGCCAAACAGTGATCAACTGGTTGGCATCAAGTGTTGCCATAGAGAAAATTTTAAAACCACAAATAACCATCTGTTTTTTTCAACTTTTATTAAAGAGCAAAAATCAGCCTTTAATCTTGAAAGAAATAACGATTTGATATTCATCCTGATAATTATCGATATCAAATGATATGAAGTGTTTTATCCTGGTAACGTTATTGGCCATATCGCCAGCCCTTTCTTACAGTGAGGTATTAGTACTTTTACTTAAGTAACATTTTTCATTCAGCACTTTTACTTACTTACTTACTTTTACGTATTTTTTACAGTGACGTACTTTTAGTAAAGGATCCTAACACTTACACAAGTTCGTCACACAGTCTTCTACCATCAAATTAAAATCTCACTAATCACTAATGTTTGCACAAATGTTGTTTAAAATGTTCATTATTGACTGAACAGGAAACAGAAGTTCTGATAAGTTTTATTTTGAAAATCGTGACAGGAAGTGTTGTTGGTTGTAATGGCTACCTTGACGGCTGTCACCTGCCGCAGCGGAGCCGGAGGAGAGAAGTGAGTGAGCGGACGAGCATTGATAAGGTTCCCGGAGGTGAGCGGAGGAAATCCTCCTCTCTGAACACACGTTTTTAAGGATTTTAGCTCGACGTTTTTTAATGTCAGCACACAGCGTGGACTGTTTTCGGGCACACAGAACCAGTCCTGCGCTGGCACAATTTTTTGAAGCCCCGCAAAAACCGCATTTTAGGGGCGCCAACGGACAAATCACATTAACAGTCAACGGCACATCAAGCTCACCTCGCCGGGCGACGATGGAGGTCCGCCGCTAAGGGCTCTTCTCGGGGCGGGGGTGGGGGGCACCGGACTCGGCCGGAATTCCGCCAAAATTACGACGGGAATCAAGTACAGCTCCCTGTCTCCCGGTACCGGGAGAGAACACCGGCCGCTCGTGATGTCTCGTGCCAAGGAGCGGCTGAAAGGCGGGAATGAGACCAAGGACAGCGTCACCCTGCTGCCGTGCTTTTATTTTGTAGAGGTGAAATATCTATCTCTCTATCTGAAATAATTGTGACATGTTTGCAGGCTGCTGTGTGCTTGATAATGGTTCAGTTGGTTGACTGGCTAGTTGACAGACTGGCCATTGGGTGGACTGAATGTTTAAAATCCACCCTTGACAATATGATGGTCAGGTGTCTGGCAGCTCTTTTATCAGGAACATGTTAGCTGTGAACTCCTTGTGGCCTGCAGTCTAAGGAAACAAGCAAACATACCAGAATCAGGTTAAAGTTATCACTGTGGATGTTTGAACTAAGCAAATAATGCTATTGAGATGCCACATGACAATGAGCTAGACAGGATCTGGAGAATCTGTATTCACCTCCTCATCCCTGTTTACCCTGTTCTTTTTTGTAGCCGGTGACACTGCAGTCTGCACTAGACTCTTGTGATTCCTTGTGTATGCAAATTATGTGGGGCAAGATGCAAAAGAAAAGCAGCTTGTCCAATATATATCAAGCCCCTCATCGTTCATGCATGATCAGTCAAAAACACCTTGATAGGGAAGGGAAGAAAACCATGGTGTTTACAGACTGAATGAAAACAACTATCCAGACACAAGCGTGTACTTCAATTTCATACCAAACTTAAACACAATATCCATGTATTCATCCATTTTAAGAAATGAATGGCCAGAGTTTAGCTTGTCTGCTGACTGTGTCACAGTAATTGTTTGTTGCCCCAGGACTAAAGCCTACAGTGATGCTGCATTTAGTTTATATGCCCCCACAATGCAGAACAGCCTTCCTGAAGGCTGGACAATGTGCACTTCTTTCTATGCAAGTCTATTTCTGCCACTGTAATGCATATCTGTTATCTCAAAATAATAAGTTAGTATCTCAAAATAATAAGTTAGTATCTCAAAATAATGCCTTACTATCTCAAAATAATGATCTGTTATCTCAAAATAATAAGTTAGTATCTCAAAATAATGCCTTACTATCTCAAAATAATGATCTACTATCTCAAAATAATGCCTACTATCTCAAAATAATGATCTACTATCTCAAAAACATTCCTTACTATCTCAAAATAATGCCTTACTATCTCAAAATAATGATCTACTATCTCAAAATAATGCCTACTATCTCAAAATAATGATCTACTATCTCAAAAACATTCCTTACTATCACAAAATAATAAGTTAGTATCTCAAAATATTGACTTACTATCTCAAAATAATGATCTACTATCTCAAAATAATGATCTACTATCTCAAAATAATGCCTACTATCTCAAAAACATGCCTTACTATCACAAAATAATAAGTTACTATCTCAAAATAATGATCTACTATCTCAAAATAATGCCTACTATCTCAAAAACATGCCTTACTATCACAAAATAATAAGTTACTATCTCAAAATAATGATCTACTATCTCAAAATAATGCCTACTATCTCAAAAACATGCCTTACTATCACAAAATAATAAGTTGGTATCTCAAAATATTGAGTTACTATCTCAAAATAATGATCTGCTATCTCAAAATAATGATCTACTATCTCAAAAACATGCCTTACTATCACAAAATAATAAGTTGGTATCTCAAAATATTGAGTTACTATCTCAAAATAATGCCTTCCTATCAAAATAATAAATTGGTATCTCAAAATGATGCCATACTATCTCAAAATAATGAGTTAGCATCTCAAAATGATGCTTTACGATTTCAAAATAATAAATTGGTATCTCAAAATAATACCTTTCTATCTCAAAATGATGAGTTAGTATCTCAGAATAATACCTTTCAATCTCAAAATATTGACTTACTATCTCAAAATAATAAACTGGTATCTCAAAATGACGCCTTACTATCCGAGTTAGTATCTCAAAATAAGGGGTTAGGACATTAGAATAATACATTTCGATCTTAAAATAATGAGTTAGGATCACAAAATACTGACATACTATTTCAAAATAAGTTGATATCTCAAAATGATGACTTACTATCTCAACATTATGAGTTAGTAGTTCAAAATAATGAGTTAGTGTCTCAAAATAATGACATTATTTGTGGATACTATGTCAATATTTATTATATTTTATATTTATATTTTAATATTTATCTATTATACTGTGTTACCTAAAGTACCAACACGGTCACGTTTTGCTGGTCTGACTTCTGTATTCCTGCTTTCAGAGATTTAAATGATTAAAAGTCTTGGGACTGTATTGAGTCTTGCTTGGTACTGTTCCCTCCCTGCTTGCATCATCAGGTGCAAGATTTGGTGTTGAAATGAGTCTACTGTGTACTAAAATATTTACTTACAGATCATACCGTGATAATAAATACAGGCAGTAACTTTACATACTTACAAATAACTGAATTACCAGGTGACCTAGATTTATTTAATATATATAAATGATGGTATTTGATTTTGTATTGCATTTCCATAAAGTTTGGTGAAAGTGACGTAGCAGAAAATAGGCCTATCCTGATTTCTATTCCTCAATATATAGGTCAAGCTCCAAAACGACTGGATCCTTAACTTTACTACTACTGATGCCCATTGAAAATACAGAAAACCGATGTGTCCTTGTGACAGGTGCAGCTGTAACTGGTTGCTACTTTGCTGTCACTTTAGATATTTAAATGACAGACTATCTGAGCTGTCACATACAGAGTCGTGCAAGCCAGTTCTTTAGTCTATATCTCTCAGCTGCATTATACATATTGTGATGTTAGTCTGATGTGTTGGTGGGTGATGGAGTGTTTCCCTGCCTTCAATGCTGCATGCACTTTTCAAAACCGATCTTCAAATGGAGACCAGTGTTTCCCCTACCATTGTTCAGCAACATATGGAAGCTGCCAAGCAATAACCTACATGATAGAGGACAATTCACATGTACTGCAACAATGCATTCATTGTATATATTTTTTGTGTCTGAATTTTTGAAATTTTATTCACCCACCACATGATTACACACTTTTTCTGATGACAAAATGTGCCGGGGGGTCTACCGCACCGGAGACACAATATGATCCAACCACGAGCCCACCAAGCTATAGGCAGTGCTGTATATGATGCTATAGGCAGTGCTGTTTATGATGCGTTCGGCGCACTGAATTATGGATTATTGACTAATGAGGGAAAAGCCTGTTGCTGATATTGTGCATTTCTTGAAATTTGAGAGAGAAACAGTGAGAGCTCATGATTGAGGATAGTTTCAGCTTGGCCTCTTTTTTTCCAAACCCAGGCCAGAACACCACATTGCACATCAGTATTTATTAGTGTTGTTGGGTGAAAGCTTAATCTTCTTTGCTTTGGGTTAGAAGTATTGCTCGTTTCTTCTTTCTCTCCCTGACAGAGCTGCTCTGTGTCTCCTACATTTTCTATCTCACACACTGTCACACCATCCTACCCACTAACTGGCTGCTAGGCAACATGGTCCTCTGAATGGGGTGTATTTTTATATCTGCGTTCAGGGCTGGAGACTTTAAGAGGAGAAAAACATCCCTACTGCAGCTTGGTTTCCTCAGTGTGCACTGTGGCCACTAAGGCTTTGGTTCAGATGTCCTTAATAGTATCCTCACGATGCATTCATTCAGAAATGCATCATGTAGCCTAGTACACCTGGGGGATTTGGAAGTTCATGAATTAAGGGTGTGGAAAATAATTGATTTTTAGATGCATCGCGATGTGGACTTGGGTGATGATGAATCGATTCACAAATGTCAATAATCGATTTTCTAGAGGTTAAGTGAGGTTAAGGCGGAACTCGGAAATGCATAAGTGCAGCTCCGGACGGACGGACAGTTGTTGAATGAATGACTGCCGCTACTAAATGTTACACATGAACAATAAAATCAATAGCGCAACTATCGTTAATGATTTTAACCCGCACTCTGTGCAGCATGGTAGTGCTTAGCTAGCGTCCTCTTATCATTCTTCAAAGGACAGCTACGCGACAGGCAGCATTAGGTGACGGTGAAGCGAGTGGAGTAGAGGAAAAGATGAGCGCTATGTTTCAGTCTGGCTGTAAATTTACAGGGTAATGTTAGCTCACAGCGTTTCCGTTTATTAAGGTCTGTCCGTTGTTTTCAACTACTGGAAAAGTGAAGGCAGTTAGCGCTAGCTAACGTCTCCTATGTCTCATATGCTTTATGGCTGCTAGTTCAATTTCATTTGTCGTCACTCATCCACATATCAGGTACAAAATGAACCAAATGCCGTTTCTCAAGGCCCATGGTGCTCAATACAAGATCACAATAACCAACTTACAAGACAAGAAACAAACAAACGTGTAACTACACTAGACGAGACAAAAAAGGGACAGATATACTGAGGTGGCGTGAACGTGGTTTGGCTGGAACATTGTAAAGTGCGAAGTTCAACCCCCATCCGAATAAATAAAACTAGCAGCAGCAGAGGTCAGTAATAACGCTGTAATAATGTAATAATGCTATGTTAGCTTATATGAAGTAACATTAAATATCTGCATTTTATTACTACCTTCTTGTTTGGATTGTTACAAGTACTTTGCTTTAAAAGTACCGAGTAGTCAAACAGGGAGAAAAATAATAAATTTATCCTGTTCGTTTTACAATTGCATCGTAGCACTCGTAATTGTAATGAGGTGCCTAGAAATTCCCACCCTTCACGGGATGCATCGAGGAATCTAATAAATTGTCAACCTGATAATCGTAATCGAATCGTGAGACCAGTGAAGAGGCACACTCCTATAGGTCTGCAACTAATGACTATTTTTGTAGTCGACTAATCTGGCAATTATATATTCGATTAGTCGACTAGTCACGATTATTTTTGTCACCCCATAACTCTAATTAAACCATTTAACTAATTAAATATCTTTCAAGTGAATTACATATCTCCAACACACAGCCTAACATTACCATTAAGGGAACGAGGTTTTACTATTCAGAATGAACGCCAGTATGAACAAACTTTAAAACTTTTAACTATTTAAAAAAGATTTTTGCTTTGGAACTATATAAAACAAAAGCACATTAAAAGC